GGAAAGAGTCGGATTTGTTTTGGAGAACTACACCTCTGTAAGTTAACTACTACCTGCAGATGTTTTCACAATTTCTGTGGTGTTTCTGAGGCCCATGAAGTCAAACTGATAAAGCCGCCAGGATTTCTGATCAGCTGCCTCAACCGAATTTTTTCTCCATCTATAAATCATTTCTTCTTTGGGGTAGCCATCTGAAAATGCAGAAAAAATGTTAACACTTGAAAGATGTAGGTTTATAATGTCAAAATTATAATTCTGATCATTTAATAGGAGCTGAAATTGTAGTCCATATTTAATCTTAAATCTTCCTCATATGCAATGAAACGCCAAAAATGAATGGGCAAAGGCCGCCTAACCCAGAGGGTTTCTGAGGCAGATCTTCACAATCAGCAAGATAGTCCAAGCCACAAGTGTTTCTATTGTCTGTATGGACACAGCACATATCTTTCACTGTGGAGGCTTGATTATAGCTGACTTTCAAAGAATGCACTTGAAAGTACTGGTCAGAGTCTCACTAGCTCATAAAACCAAGATCTAACAAGCTGGCCTACACCCACCAGACCGTTCACATTTTTCCAGAACTTTGTCCAGATTTCAGGAAAAGTGAATTTACTTTTTTCATTATAAATTTTTATTATAAATAGCTTTTATTATTTCTACCATATTTATTTTTTATTATTGAAATGTAGTTGTCCAATATGTCATGTGTACAGTATAATGGTTCACAATTTTTTAAAGGTTATATTTATAAACTACGTTTATAGTTATAAGATACTGGCTATATTTCCTGTGCTGTACAATATATCCTTGTAACTTATACAAAACAGTTTACACGTTTTGATTCCCTAACTTCTATTGCCCTCATTTCCTTCTCCCCACTGGCAACTACTAGGGTGTTCTCTAATTTGTGCCTTTTTCTCTTGTATTCACTAGTTTGTTGTATTTTTTAACTTCTGCACTTAAGTGATAGTATTCATGCAGTATTTGTCTTTCTCTCTCTGACTTATTTCACTTAGCATAATAACTTTAAGAAAGACAATAAGGATTTGGGAGGTCAACTGACTCTGTTATGCTCTTTTAGTCTCCAGTTCTGATCAGTTTGACATTTTCCTGAGACCATTATCCAACTTGTTAGTTACTCTAGAAAAGCACGATATTTTGGTGTTCTAGGCTCAGTGTGGGCAACATGCCCAGCGCTGGTTGTCTTGGATAAGGGTTGTCCCCCACTCCTACTGGTAGTTAGCAGGGTTCTGCTGGCTCCCTAAACCCAAGCCAGTGATTGGCCCGATGCCTGTTTTTCAACTCCTGGATTCCCTTTCTGAACAGCACTTGGGACCGCACCGTTAACTCTCTGGAACTCTCTGATGTAATTAATAAAGCACAAGTATGCTTCCTGCTTTCTAACTGTGGATTGCTCTGTGAAATTATTGACATTGCAAGGATACTTACTTGCTCTTCCTTAACTGGACAAAGTTGACATCAAGGCATTAGACTCAGCCTGAAGTAACCAAACATTTTACTTGGCCATTAGCCACTGTCTCAATAGCTTTATTTCCTCATTAAACTATCAAATAATAAAAGGTACTTTATGCTATAATTCTTTTTAAATTTGTTTTGTAAAACAGCTTTATTGAGATATAAAACTCACACATTTAACATAAAAATTCGGTGTTTTTTAGTATACTTTCAGAGTGGTGCAACTGTCACATAAATCTAATTTTTGAATATTTTTTTCATTCCAAAATGTAACCCTAGTCATTAGCATTCACTCCCAACTCCACCTCCTTAACACATATCATGCATCGCACCCAGACCTAGACAGCCACTAATATATTTTCTGTCCACAGGTTTGCCTATTCTGGGCATTTCATATAAATTGAGTCATACAACATGTTATCTTTTATAACTTTCTTTACTTAGCATAATGTATTCAAGGGTCACTCATACTGTAGCACGTCAGTACTTCGTTCCTATTTATTGCTTAATAATATTCTGTTGTACGGATATGCATATTTTTTTAATCTGTCATTTAATAAACATTTTTTCTGATCTACTTTTACACTATCATGAATAATGCTGTTAGGAATATTGTGTACAAGATTTTGTGTCAATATGTTTTCAGTTTTATTCAGTATATACCTAACAGTGGAACGGTTGGTCATGGGTTTACTCTATATTTAATACTTCTCCAACAGTCATAGAGGTGTCAGGTTGTAACATTGTTGTTTAATTTGCATTCCCCAAATGGTTGTTGTTATTGAGGATCTTTCCATGGATTTATTTGTCATATATAAGACGTTTGCTAGGGTATATTCAAATATTTTGCTCATTTTTAAATTGGATTTTTTTTCATATTTTGGAGTTTTAAGAGCTGTGTATTTTGTATTCAATATTTTCTGCCATTATGTGGTTTGTATTTTTATTCTCTATCCATTTTTCAGAGTTTTATTATTTATAAAATTATTGAGGCAGACTTTCCTCTTAATCACTTTGAAGATATCATGTAATTGTCTTTTGGCCCTTATGGTATATGATGGGAAATCAGCTATTAATCATACTGAAACTTAAAAATGATACATTATTTTTCTCTTACCTATTTCAAAATTTTCTCTGACTTTTGTCAATTTGACTATGATATGATAAGCATGGATCTCTTTGAGTTCATTGAAGTTTGTTGAGCTTCTTGGATGTATAGACTACTCCTCTGGGACTCCTACTAATTGTATGTTAGTGATCATCGTGCCACAGGTTTGAGTTTTGATACAGCTTTTTCCTTTTTTAATTTTTTTCCTGTCATTGGATAAAATCTACTGGCCTGTCTTCAAGTTTGCTGATCCTTTGTTCTGTCTACTCCAATCTACTTGTTATAGTTTCCTTTAATTTTTGGACATGGGTTGCTGTATTTTTTCAAAACTATTTAAGATAGGTGACTTAAGGTCTTTGTCAAGTACATGCAACATCTGGGATTCTTCAAGGATGACTTACTGACAGCTTTTATTCCTGTTATGTGGTGCTTTCTTGTTTGTAGGTTTTGTAAATGATCAAAAATGTCTGGAAATGAGACATTTTACATTTTCAATAATATATTATAACAACACTGGTATCAGAACCCTCTGTGTGCACCAGGGTTTGTTTTTGGTCTTGTTGGGAATCTGTGTGTGATAGCAATTTATGAGAAAGCCTTAGCTTTAACTCCTGTGCTTGGGAAATTTCCACAAGGCCAGAGGTGAGTGATAGGGGTCTATAGTTAGTCTATAACAAATCCACCAATGATAACAAGTGCTAAAACCTAAACTAAGACAAATATAAAAATCAAGAACTGGTCAGTCGCATCCAGCAAACCCTAAGCTACATTTCCTCCCAAAGTTCCCAGCCTCAATTTTGAGATGATTTGTTGTCTATTTATTACACAGATGCAGGGTACAAGTTGATTTTAGTTTTTTAATCTGCTGTTCCTGAGGCTGCAGGGAGAAATTTCCTTCTCTTCTTTGTTTGCACAGCCCCTGGGGTTCAGCTTTGGATTTGTCCCAGCCTCTGCATGTTGGTTGCCCTCCGGTGTCTGACAGAGGTGGCTATGGCTCAATCCAAGGGGAGGGAGGGGTACAGAATGAGGGGTGAGCCTGTGGCGGAAGAGGCCGGTTTGATGTTACAACAGACTGATCATACCATGTGTTCTCTCAGAAAAGTGGTCCCTGGATCATGGGATCCTGGCAGTGGTGGGCGACACAGCTTCCCAGGAGGGGAGGTGTGGATAGTGACCTGTGCTTGCACACAGGATTCTTGGGGGCTGCACCAGCAACAGGCATTTCTTGCCTGTCTTTGGTGTTCACACTGATAACCGCGGTTTGTGTCCATCTCTGAAGCTCATTTAGGCAGTCCTCTGAATCCCTTCTCATCACCACCCCAAACAATTGTCTCTTGTCTCAGGCAGGTCTAGACATTTCCTGGACTCCCTCCCAGCTAGCTGTGGCACACTAACCCCCTTCAGGCTGTGTTCACACAGTCAACCCCAGTCATCTTCCTGGGGACTGAACTCCAAATCCTGAGCCTCAGCTCCTAGCCCTCACCTGATCTTGTGCTTGAACAGATTCGCCTCTCAAGCAGGTGAAAGCAGGTAAGCACCGACCTTCGGTGTGAGGATCTCTCCGCTTTGACTTCTGCACCCCCGTTGCTACACTCTGTGGCTTCCAAGAATACCCCTGCTCACACCCTGTCTCCACAAGTGAATGGGCTTCCTAGTGTGTGGAAACTTTTCCTCCTTCACAGCTCCCTCCCTGAGATGCAGGTCTCACCCTATTCTTTTGTTTCTTTTTTTCTTTTTCTTTTGCCCTACCCAGGTACATGGAGATTTGTACCTGGGAAAAAGATACATGGATCCCAATCATTATTGCAGCATTACTTACAATTGTCAAGATATGGAAGTAACCTCCATCAACAGAAAAATGGATTAAAAAGCTGTTGTATATATATTTATAAAGTGGAATACAACTCAGCCATACAAACATTGAAATTGTGCCCCTAGCAACAATATGGATGGACTTGAAGGGCATTATGCTAAGAGAAATAAGACAAAGACATATATTGTATGATATTACATGTAGAATATAAAAAAGTCAAATTCATAGATGTAAAAGTAGAATGGTGGTTACTAGAGGTAGGCTCGTTGAAGGAATGAAGAGGTGTTGGGCACAATGTACATATTTGCAAAAATAAGATTTTTATGATCAAGCATCTAAAATAAGATTTTTGTGATCGTGCATCTAAAATGGTTTAATTTTGTGAAATTTCAAACCTTACTGATACGATTATCTATGTTCTACTCTGGTGTAAATGAATAACATACATTTTCATATTTTGTAGCAGTATTATGCAGTGGATTAAAAATTAAGAGACTGACAGAAGTAGAGGAAGTTGCAAAAGATATGTTTTATGGTCCAGCCTATGAAAATGTATATGTCTGCCTGCCATGAAATAGCATGTTCTTGTAGAATAGGCAGAATTTTCCCAGAATCTCCATTTATGAACCAGGTATCCATTTAGGCTATCTCCACCGCAAAATGACTAATAACAGCTTGCAAAATCATGTTTCAAATGTTTCGAGTATATTAAAAGATACTATGTGCAGATACAGAAAAAGTACATATTCATAGCCACCGGCACCTTGAAACATGTCAAGAGAGCACCTCACTTT